GTTTAATTGAAACAAAAATGGATCTGGATCATTGAAAGATTCACATTTAAACAGATGCGTGGGGTTTAAGTTGTTTTTGAGAGCCCGGGGCCAAGGCGTACCGAACGCTTGTGATACTGTTTGTTGAGAATATGTAGAAAAGATAGGTTCACTTTCAGCAACGTTTTTGTTTCAAATACTACGCTTTGAGACTCTGTGAAGTGATATGTAGGTAGATATATTACTAATCTATGTATATAAACACATTTCAAGATACACGTGTGAGGTTTAAGTTGTTTTTGACAGCACGGGCCAAGTCGGGCCGAACAGAGACTAAACACTTTTGATTGCGGATTTTGTTTTCCGAGGACTTTATTTTCCTAAATCGTTGGGAATGGAGAGAGAAAGGGGGCTTCACTTTTACTTTACTTTATGAAGTGGTATTTAGGTAGATATAATACCATTTTTTGTTTCTTGTGTATTAGTAAATATAAGCATATGCATACGCGCTGGCTATCTGATTTGGGCTGGTATTGTTTACAATGAAAACACATAAGAAATTTTGTGTTTGTGAATGCATACTTTGTTTGATCCTTTATAACATATAACAATTTTTTGTGATTTCAAATATTTCTTTTAATACCCATAATCATGTCATATTTGCCCATTGACACTCGCCGATATCCACGTCTCTTTAACATAAACATCCTGTGCTGATTCAGCCTGAGACAACAAAGGTTAATTAGGGAACCCCAATATCTTAATTAAGGAAAGAAAAGCGTCAAAACACTGTCACTTCCTGCCCAGGACCCCCGGATGTCACACGCTAAGAGAAGTAAGCAGCCTTCCCCCATAGACATATCAAGGAAAACACATAACAACAAGACGGTGTCTTTTCTACGGGAATCTTGGTATGTAGTCATTGTTGTTGTGTGGGCTTTTTCACCATTAACTATACATTTTCAATCAAATTATGCATTTGTGAAGGCAGGAAGTGTATCGACCCAAATGTGCAGGTTTCGTTTTAATATTCTGCAATCCATTTTAAGTATTACCCGGTGGCCCGGGCCCGGCCCGACTTTTCTTGGCCCGACTTTTAGGCCATCCCGTATTTAATCGGGTAACCATGCCATTTTGACAGGCGACCGGAAGTAACGCATACTTGTTTACGTCAGGGAACTATGGGAAATATTTAGGGGAATCCCCGAATTTAATGAATAGGACGTCATTGGGCTGATCGCTTCGAAATTTTAGAGTTGGCGTATACAATTCTGAGAATAAACAGAGTAATAAAATCGTTGCCATAATTTCTTATTTGTTTGTGTCAATAAATATATATATATATATATATTTCTGTGTTTCACTTGTAGTTTAACAAAACCTAAAAATTCGATCATTATTATCATAAACTAAGCCACCCCGAGTTATCTCCCTTTATGATTGTACAGGAAAATTCATGGCGAAACTGGTTGCGTCTCATTCTGCCGAAGATTGAATTTCGGTTTTTATTGATAAGCTACATAAAGAGGTCTTAAGGGTAATAAATGCGTCATAGTGTTTTGAAAGGGTGTAGGGACTGCGCCTCAGGAAATACGGAATATACAAGGATCTTACAGTCCCGTACATCCTTTCAAAACACCGTGTAACTAATATTAACCTCTCTGTACCCTGTACAGACCTACCCGGTGTACCACTCTGTACACTATACACGCTATAAAATATATGTACCCTGTACCTGATCAACCCGGTGTACCACTCTGTACCCTATAGCCGATCTACCCGGTTTATCACTCTGTACCCTGTATCGGATGTACCCAGTTTACCACTCTGTACCCTGAAGCCGATCTACCACTCTGAACACTGTATACTCCATAAAATATATGTACCCTGTACCCGATATACCCGGCGTAGCACTCCGTACCCTCCACCCGATATACCCAGTTTACCACTCTGTGAAACGATACACGGTATAACACCTCTGTATCTTGTACCCGACCTACCCGGTGTATCACTCACCAGTGTACCCACCCTTCAGACATACGAACCTCAACGTGATTTGCTGTAAACTGTATGAATGCGAGTTTGTTTGTGAGTCTGCATGAGATAGTAGAAGACATGCAGTAAGTCAGGTCACGTGGTGCAGCGACATTCCGTTCCACATTTTAGTCGACTTTTGAGACAAATGTTATCAGACTGAGAGCCTCTCTATGTCGTGCAGTAACTTACACTTTGACCCTCTAGACATATTTCTGTATCTGTGGTTCGAATGCAGATGTGGGTGTCAATGACGGTCACAACCAATGGTCAAAGGTTGCTATAATCTACCACAAAGGTTGAGAGTAAGATAAAGCCTCTTCAAGTACCGACATGCTTCCCGAAACCGAGCCACTGTACGGCTTTGTCGTTATCAGTAACCAGTTTTACGACATGCTGTGAACAGACCCAGGTCCTTTTATCAAATATACTCTTAAAGATAATAGTGGATACTTGGAAAGAGCTTTTAATTTTCAAAAACTTAAGGGATGTTAGTTTCTAGTGATGGTTGTACAATAATAAGTTATGAATTGGGATCACCTTATAACCGATAGCAAGTTTAAAAGAAGAAGTTATGACCGCCTACGAACTTCAAGGATGATGGGGTTAAAATGGGAATTTTCAGAGACGACATTTTGGGGATCAGTAGTGCGTAGTACCGTCTTGATTGAACATTCATTCATTCGCTCTTCTTGCAGCGCCTTGCCAAGTTCAGCCAAAGAAGTTGTCAGTCACAGACGTATTGAAGGGAGGAAAGGTCTGGGCTTATTGCCGGCTTTGGCGTGGTGCTGCTGCTGATGTTGATGTGCTACTAGGGATGACCATTGGCCATCCGTGACGGCGTTGTCGTCCTCAAAGACAAAATGACGACTCACACAAAGCATGTAATTATGTTGTGCCGATGGACAGTGACTGTTCAGTGACCCTTCCTTGCACAATCTGGAGTCGGGTTCGCTCGGTCATGCGACTCACATCATAACCAATCCACCTCCAAATCTGCCGTGCCGTTTCAGGGTGATATTGTCTTGACCCGCGTTCCTACATCACCATGGCTACACCTGGCATGTGAAAACTGTTCACACAAACTGTACTCGTCTTTTCTCATCGGGTTAAAGATCCTTCCACATTAAGTATATCTCAAGACATTCATTTAGCAATAAACTCTGAAACTTCTGGAGCTGGTTTAATTTGTCACTATAATGTACTCTCTACCCTTGGTATCATTATAATATATAGTTCTACAATGCTATATCCGTCGTTGAGATAGGGCACTTTATAATTGTAAGGAGCATCGGGGCAGCCTGGTGTATATTCTCTCGTCACACCGAATACCAGGGTTCGATGCCCCACATGGGTAAAATGTAAAGGACCAATTTTTAATGTCCCCGCTGTGATAATACTGTAATATTACTACTCGCTAGCGGCATAAAACCCAACTCAATCACTGTCATTCTGAGTAGTCATTATATGCACTGCCTGTGAAAACACCCTTCATGGTCGAGTGGAAACAGCGTCTGCCCGGAGAAGGGAAGACATGTGGTTCGAATCCCTACGCTTTTGCTCCAAAAGACGTTAAATATTATACTTGTTACCTGCCCCGAGGCTTGGAACTGGGATAACAAGGGTTGATCGACATGGAGCGACTATGATGTATCCATGGGTCACTGTGGCGTGGTATTTTGACATTAAATGAAAATCATGAAACACAAACGAGCTTGGAATAATCTTTAAGTTTCTGCATTGCAATTCCTAAAATGTTAAACTTTTCTTTCAATGTATAGTCTGTGGGGATAATCATGAGGGATTTGACATATTTTAATGGCATGGTTCATCATGTGCAAAAAAGCGTTCATGCTAAAATTCACGACGGCTTAAAGTTCATGGTTACTTTTTGGGCAGACCCGTGAAGATCCGGGTTAGAATTGGTCTTCAGCAACCCATGCTTGTCTCTACCCGTGAAGATCCGGGTTAGAATTGGTCTTCAGCAACCCATGCTTGTCGAAAAGGCGAGGAACTTGATCGTTCGGGTTGTCGACGACTTGGTTGATACATGTCATGATGACCCAAATACGTAGATCGATGTTCATGCTGTTGATCACTGGATTGTCTGGTCCAGGCTCGATTGTTTACGGAATATTAGTATTTAGTGGAATATTTCTGAGTGCGGCGTTAAACAACAAACAAGTAAAATCGTCTCTCTCTTCTTACAACTTGTATGACATGTCTGGTGGTAAATGATTGTATATTGGTCTATATTGTGTTCTACCTTGATGAAAAACAGTTAATATTATAGGATAATTTCTAACCTCCATGATGAGCAATAAGTATTAACAATACATGTATTTTTGTCCGAAAAAGAGCTCCACTAATCCGCAAACATTACTAGGAACAATTCGCATACATAAAGGAATAATTGTACCTCTCTCTTCGGCATGTTTCAAGAGCGTCAGCAAAGTGTTTATGAAAGGTGTAGAGAGAATTTGGCATAAAAGAGAGCCCCGTTTTAGTCCAGTTATAGTCCAATAGGACTGAACTAAACTTTATTTACAACCAATCTGCTATCAGCGGCATTAGAGCTACAACATTTAACTTCACCCAGCTGCTCAAAGGCGCTTTGGTTTCCCTCGATCACTGGATGTCAATCTCAACAGCACATCGTAATTTCAAGCTCAACTTCCTAGGGATCATGTGACTCTTGCAGCCACTAGGCGCACCGAGTTAATGTGACTTTCCCACCATTACGAGGTACCCATTCCAAGCTGGGTGGACTGGGACACATTGTTACAAGTACTTTGTCCAAGTTTACTTCACGTTGCTGTACCCGCCAATAGGTGTTTGCACGTATTCAGGTGGCCGCCGTCTGGTCATTTATCAACGGATTCGTAGGTTCTTTTAGCGCACAGGGTTGTGTACTGTACACTAGGGGTTGTGACAGCACTGAAAGAGCCTGCATATAAAGTAGACTACAAGGCGTTTTAAACCCGGTCATAGGTGTGCTCGATCCCCGTACCTTAAGCTCGCTGGATCACTTGTTTATTTTAGAAGAAAATAACATGGTCACATATTACTTTTTATAAACTGTCGCAGGAATGAGTAATGGCTGAATAAAGATAATCAAATAAGAAAACAAATCCACTTATCACAATTTTCAATTACATGCAAACAAAATATTGTACTCTGTCTTCATTGCCTATCCGTTAAAATAGGAATACACACAGGTCTGCGATCAGTTATGCAATTCGTTGTGAAGAGTTACCTCCCTTATCAGCAAAAATCCAAAGAGTCCAAAACCTCAATTGATTATTACCTTTGAGCTGGCAGCCACATACCCGCACTGAGGGTTATCAGACCTTTGTGTGAAATAAAATCTTTCTGTGAAATAACGAAAATAATGTTTAAATTTGAGTTTTAAAAGCACTCTTTCTCTCTTTTGAAGTAATTCGTACATTGCTTTTAATTTGGAAAAATATATTCAACCATTGTCTGACATTGTCTTCCTTGAGAGAGATTAGTAGAAGTTGTAAAGATGAAGGAAAATCAAGTTCTATGGATAGTCAACTTCTTTATTGCAATTGGAGCGACGCTTAAGTGTAGACACTAACACCGTTATCACTTGTTTGATAACGACGTTAGTGTCTTCACCGAAACGTCACATCCATTGCGATAAAGAAGTTGACTATCCATAGAACTTGTTTTTTCCTCCAGGACATCGTCATATATCAAGCACTATTCGTTTACCGTGATTCACTATCGCCATCTGTATATTGCCATATGCATTTATTGTCATTTGAACAAACAACCTTCTTTCATGTCCATCCCCAATGCTTTTGCCTGCTACTTCAAAAGATGTTTAAACCTCAATAAATAATTGCAAAAATATGCTAATGCTAACGGATGTACATTCTCTAAAAGCTGAAGTGTTCTTCATCGGCGTCCAACATCAGTCACAACGCATTTCATCATGAATTCCTCATCAAAGGCGCCTTGTCAGCAAACTTTCATCATGAATATTTCGTGGCATGAAGTCCTCTGTTTTCCAGCTAACTTGGACTTGTAATGACACCATTTGTTTCTATGAGTGTAGAATATCCGGTATCCCAAATCATATAAGTCCCGGAATATGTTCAGAGCCGTGAAATACTTTGCTTGTGGGGGATCGACTTTTTTCAGTGTTATATGCACCTCAAACACAAATTGAGTCACATTGTGTAAAGCGTTGTTTCTTATTATTTCCGGAAACACCTGCCACTCCATTTCTTCAATATCCACTTTCAAAACATCGATTGTGGTCTGAAAGAAACAGAGGCATTATGTATTATAGCAATGTTCATAAAACGCAACAATAAAAAGTATCCTTGTTTCTTAGTCCACATTGAAAGAATTTGTCTTATATATTAGGCAATAAATATTAAATATATATATATGATCGGAATATGAAGTGTAGAATTGTCATATACTCTCGTGTTAATGTTTTTGTAAAATAGGAACTTGATAATGGTGACCTTTCGCATCAACAGGAATCCGTCCTGACAACCGATATCAAATCATAGTGAGCGAGCGAGTATGTTTTTAAACCGCTTTTCGTGAATGAGTATGGTTTTTACGCCGCTTTTAGCAATATCCCAGCAATATCACGACGGGGGACACCAGAAGTGGGTTTCACACATTGTACCCATGTGGGAATCGAACACGGGCCTTCGGCGTGACGAGCGAACGCTTTAACCATTCGGCTTCCCCACCGCCCCAGTATCAAGTCATAAGCTTAGAGTTTAACGGAATAAGAAGTTGCACCACACGTTAGCCACGGAAGAGAATTACGTTCCGGATTTACCTGTTGGTGATGGAGGGACTGACGTATATCTGCGAGAGTCTTCACTGGCCAATTCTTGGGAGATTTACCGTTATAATCAGCCAGTCCTAGAGAGTGGAACGTGACATGGTCCCCGTGATGATGGTCTGGTCGACCCATACTATAAGCAGAATGAGTGAGTGAGTGAGTTCAGTTTTACGCCGCTTTTAACCATATTCCAGCTATATCACGGCGGGGGACACCAGAAATGGGCTTCACACATTGTACCCATGAGGGGAATCGAACCCTGGTCTTCGGCGTGACGAGCGAACGCTTTAACCACTAGGTTACCCCATAAGCAGAATGTAGCGGTACAATGAAGTCGTGTGTCATTCCATTACACGAAGCCACATTTTGGTTTGCCACTATGTCAAATACGACCCTGAAACGTACATTCATAAATACACATCCTAAACTAATTCCGACCTTATATCGACAAATACAAAGTATCTTTATATACCGGAATATACCTCCAACCTTTCAGCCAGAAATATAATCTAACGATTATATATCTAGAATAATAATCTTCGCTCTTTAATCTAAACATGTAATACACCACTTATATTCAGAATAATTATCCCAACCTTTCATCTTGATCATATAATCAAACCCTTATCTCCATAAATATAGTTTACCTTAAAATAGACAGACACCCGTTTGACAGACAGTCGATTGACAGACACCGAACTAGAAGGTTAATTAGGGTAACATCTACGGGAATAATGGAACAGTCCACTGTCTGGTTAGTAGGGTGAGCCTGAAATAGGTTCGTTACTGAGAAGTTTGATTGTGTGTAAATAGAACTTTGTTGTGATTAAATGATAATCCGTCTTTTCTCAAAACTGTTTTTACTATCACTTACTATATATAATATAAAAACAGGTTTGTCACTGAGAGGTTTGATTGTGTTTATTGATTGAAGCATATTTTGTTCATCCAAGAAAATGATTGGGCACAAGTTATCCAACTTAGAAAAGCCCTCTCCCAATAATAGGATATATACTGAGAAAACGTTTTGTTTGAGAGATATAGATATGTAGATATTTGAGACGATTCTGATTTTCAGTAATTGATAGACCTGCATTGCCATGTAAGAAATTACGGAAATAAGTGAATCACCCTTATGTAAATGTACAATTTTATCTTATTTTTAGCGACTTTTTTCACACCTTCATAGATCGTCCACCAAAGTTAGAAAGATACATCTTTACCTTGGATATAGAAGTACATTGTCATTCCATTTACAAATGTACAATTTTATCTTAGAATTATAACCACTTTTTCCCAAAATCATAAGAAGTACACATCTCGTACTAAGATAAACTAGATCGCCCATCAACGTTAGAAAAAATACATTTTATCCTTGAATACAGAAGGATATTGTCCTACAATTTACAAATGTACAATTAAATAAATATATATAGCCAATTTTTTCCAACCCTCATTAAAGTGCATATCTCATACTTGGATTGATCGCCCACCAACGTAAGAAAAATACAACTTTCCTTGTATATAGAAATAAATTGTCATTTAATTTAGAAATGTGCATGTTTATCTTACCATTATAGCCACTTTTAAGACACATGCACGTACCCTTATATCAAGACATGCATCACATCCTATCATTGATAATTGTAAAGACATCCGTGCATCAACAGGTAATTTAGAGAACAAGTGGTTCATATCATGAATGTTCTGTGTACTTGCCTTGGATCAAACGAGTGAATTTCACACTTATATTCTTTGGCCATTTCGTCATCAAAACTGAAGTCATTGTTGATGCTGGAAATCAAATGTTACAAAAGTGTGCTGAAAAACGCGAAGAACGGTTTCTAAAACATATCTTCATAGTTTCAGTCAATTAAATTATCGAAATCAATCGAAGTTAAGCAATGTGTCCAAGTAACCCTAACAAAGGCAAGAGCGTTTTGAATGTCAGCTTCTTTATTTTGAGGAACACGACGTTTCATTTACTTGATGAAAGAGTAAGGAAACGTCGTTTTCATAAAAATTTAGAAACTGAAGTCCATAAAATTTATGCCTTTATGTGTATCACGTATAAATGCCGAATACTTTGCAAGTTATAAGACTAACCTTGACACTAATCAATTATATGAATCGTTATGACACTTTTCAAACTATTTCACAAACTCCGGTACTTTACAAACTACCAAAGCAAATGTGAAGGTAACTGATGAGAAAACAAAAGCATGTACCTTCATAACAGAAGAATATTATACAACATGTAAAAACCGTAAGCGGACTACATGCACCTACATAGAAAGGTACAATTGACAAAGTACATTAGTCTGTTAGTAAATAAATAAACCAAACAAGTTCACAAAAACAACAACACAATTGCATTACAGACAAAATGAAGTTCCTGACGATCTGCTGTCTGAAGAGCCACTGAAGATGGAAAGCTGCCTCTGTTTAGAGATGTGGCCAAGACAGCACAAACGTATTGTGACATATTCAGCTTGGACCAGTTCTGTGGTCGTTTTCTCACCCGAAGGAATAGACCAGGCACGATTTCTTTGGTTTGACGAGGGGGTCGTTACAGATCTCCCAGCCGCCATCTTGCTGATATCCCATTCTTCTCATGTCCCCACACGCCACCTGGATGTTTTCCACGTAACTGCAAGGTCAAGGTCACGTGTGAAAACAGTATCTCGCCATAAGTACGTTCAAGAGGTTCATGACGTTACAAGTGTTTGGGAGTAGACTTTCTTAATTGAGTATCCGGGATTCGAACCCAAACTCTCATAGTAAGCATCAAATGGCCAGCACACTTAGAAAGTGTAATCACAGATTTAACACTTCTAACATTTGACAACTTTCTAATAGTGCATTGTGTGTTAATGTCTCTACCGTGTAACTAGCCCGGTAAGGTCAAGGACATATGTAATACGTTAACCGTCAGGGCTGGATGTTCGCTATATGATTTGGAATCCCCACACTTCAAGAAACAAGGTCAATGTCATGGGTGCTTCGGGTTGCCGCCATACGCCACCTGGACGTTCTCCGTGTAACAAGTTTAAGGTCATGTATGATGCAGAATATCCAAAGATGTCCATGACATAGCAAGGTCAAAGTCAAATACATTACATTCCAACACGTCATCCCGACGTTCTCCACGTGTCATCGTGTGATGCTTAGTGTCTACGCTCTTCAATCATCAACAACATGTAGGTCAAGGTCATTCTATACGTTATCATTAAACAACAAACCAACCAATCATAAAATATGTAATACGTTCCATTTGGCCACTAGGATACTTTCATTAGGTCGTATAAGACAATAGATCATCTCCACAGCTGGGAGAATTTATACTCCTGATCACTTGATCATCTGATCCAGACTCGGTCGTTACAGACTGACATCATACAGCGGAGTGCGCTGCAATTCTAAAACAAGAGAGGCTGAGTGAGTTAGTGTGGTTTTACTTCACACATTGTACCCATATGGGGGATCGAACCCGGGTCTGCGGCGTGACAAGCTAACGCTTTAACCACTAGGCTACCCCACCACCCGTCTAAAACAAGAAGCAGAAACGAATCACTGTGATGACAATGACAACACAATGAGTGATGAAGCATTGTCCTATCGGTATTACCTGTGTATTGGTGGTCTACTTATCCGAATGACCTGGAATAGTAACTCACATGTATGACTTGCGTGATATTGCAAACTACAGCATATGGTAAAGGCATCTTTGTCCCGTTGGAAACTTAAAGTTTAAAGAATCAGTATGCCTTACTGATGTGCAAGGGGTTGGATATGTTCATATGATTCAATATAAAAGCGACAAAACCCTTTCCATATCATTAAATCTCTTCTAACAGCAGAGTCGATTGTAATATTCTGACTATATCATGAGCATGTGTTTATGAATTACTATGAAATTGTGATACTATAAGGTGTTCAGGTGTGAGAACATTCTGCCTGTCAGGTGGCAGTGGTCATAAACACATGCAAAGGCTTGTCAATTGTTCAGCTGAAAACAGCAAAGGAACGTACGGTAAAAGTCGCGCTCAACGTCTCCGTTATCTAAAATTATCCACTTGGTTGTATAGACATTACCTTCTTCTAAACTGATGTAAAAATCCATGCACTAAAGTCTATTGTGGATGAGTTATACATGTTTGAAAATACATTTTCGCAACAGATTTCTGGGTTATGCATTTCTTTTTGGAATAGTATATTTACACAAGCGGTTCAGGGATACTGGTAACATGAATATCACCATGGCTACATTATCGGAGATATCTCATTGCTGCCACGTAGAACGCCTGGCTATTTATCACCATGCCTTAGGTTGTGGACTTAAGATAACGCTAAACTCCCGCGTCTTCCTGTTTCCTCAGTACTTCCCCTACATCAGTGGTTCCTTAAACAATGGCTGGCTGAATGATAAGTTATGATAATAATAAATAACTTGTCCATTTATACAGCGCCAAACTCCACACCAGGTATGCTCATAGGGCTAACAATCAAAGAACAGCATATTATTACCCCGCATAAGCTGCGAGGTGCTAGAAAGTTAATAGTCACATGACCTATCCCAACGGGTACCCATTTTCTGCTAGGTGAACAGAGGCAATTTTGAACAAACTCACTTGCCTCAAGGTGAGACCACATGAGTCACATGTGCTTCGTTGTGGGGCAGGGCTGATGCCCTAGAAACTCACAGGAGTCAAGCTGCCAAACACGGTCACCCATCCAAGGACTCTCCGTGCCCAACGTTGCTTAACTTCATCTGATTTGTGACCTGAGCACTATGCACGGGACCACACACCACCACAGAGTTATGCCCACATGCGAAATGATTAAATCCAAATATTACGTGATCAAGTATTTGAGTTTAACATTTTACAGTTACATCTCGATTACTAAGTATATATGGTATTTGTAAAATAGTATGACCGGTAGAGCAGGATGTGCTTACCCTTTTCGCAAACACCGGGTGTCATCACTTATTTTCAGTGACCCATTCATATAATTGTCACAGCTATTTTTACATCAAAAATTGTTTATGATGATAGTGAGGACTGGGGATGTTTTTGCTCTGACGTTCAGTATTTAGAACCCTGTGTAATGGTTAGAACAACATACATTTTCCCAAGATACCTGACACCAGCTATGAACGTCGCGCTGTTTCAGGTATAAGACATCACACTTTAAACAATGATCAGACAATCTAGCATTGGCGTCGTGAGCATCCATCTACGCAATCGGAAACGATGACATGCATCAACCAAGTGAGCAAGTCTTACCACCCGATCCCGTGATTCACCTAAACCAGTGTTATCCCGTGTTATAAATACATGCATCGGTTACTGAAAGTCACACCGAACCCGGATCTTCAAGGGTCAATTTATCATAATAAATGGGTGCTGTTACGCCAACTAAGTCAACATTTAACTGACAGCATGAGCAGCGTAAGTTTGATAGCAATAAATTGCATTTCTTAAAATCCACGGGAAAATATGATAGCGCACATCAAAATCAAAATCACATTTGTATAGTGCTACATATCCAGAGTGCTGCTTACGTGCACTTAGTCGAATGCTCGTTTGAAGAAGATGGGTTTGAGACTAGATCGGAAACTGTTGATATTTTCGGTTCGGACAGATGGAACATCTAAGCTTTATGTGTGGCTTCACTTTTAAAGTTCAGGTTGCAGGCTTCTCTAACTAATAGGGGATAATCATGCCGTTCTTTTACAGCAAATAAAAGTGTTCTGCCGAATGATATTGGTATATTTCCTGCATTGCTTACCTTCTACATGGTTCTTCATCAACAATATTTGGGAACGTCCAATCAAATAATATGGAATATATGGTTGTTATTTTGTTTAACAAGAACAGCAACAAACAATGCTTTGTTTATTCTGAAGGTGTGTTCGAACTCATTTCAAAATTTAGATAGTATATTTAATTAAACCTGTAACTATACGGGCTATAGTAACTATGACTCTCTTAAGGTAGCCAAATGCCTTGTCATCTAATTAGTGACGCGAATGAATGGTTTAACATATTCCCACTGTCCCTATGTATAACTGATGTTTAGGGGGCGGTGGAGTAGCCTAGTGGTTAAAGCGTTCGCTCGTCACGCTGAAGACCCGGATTCGAATCCACACATGGGTACAATGTGTGAAGCCCATAATCCGGTTTAGACAGCATGCAAGATTGTAGAGCTGACACAGTTACCTACAACTAGAACTGGAGCAGCTTTGTCACTCTGATATACATTTTGTATCACGTGGTTCTCTAAACTACTGCACACACTGACAATAGAACATGTCAAAGTACACCCATACTGAACTAAGATTAGATTATCTTTGTCGGCAACCAGGTAGTTGTAACGCAGGATTAATTAGTGACAATACACACTTGGCCAACTCCTCGTCACGTGCCGGATTAGACAGCGCTGATTACTGTATAAACACATATCGGGGCGGCTCATTTCATGCCGAGATCCGGAATTGACAGCTGCCGGATTGCAGAACCTTTAAATGATGATAAATGCACTAGCCATGGACGGGACTGAGATTTTATGCCGGTGTTGACAACTTGCCGGATTGGAAAGCTGCCGGTTTTGACAGCTTCCACTGTAGTGATAACGTTTTCACCAGAAATAGAGAGACATTTATGGTTTTACAGATTGAACAGATTACATTTATGCATTACATAAACCTGTTATATATCATATGTTGAAGTCGTCATTATTTAAAAGAAGAAAAACGTATACACGTGTGTTGCACCTGCCACACACTCAATTCTCCTGTAAGGAGACGTGTGTGTTTGTGTGTGTGTGTGTGTGTGTGTGTGTGTGTGTGTGTGTGTGTGTGTGTGTGTGTGTGTCTGTCTGTGTGTGTCTGTGTGTGTCTGTGTTTAGCCTAGTGGTTAAAGCGTTCGCTCATCACGACGAAGACCCGGGTTCAATTCAATACATGAGCACAGTGTGTGTAGCACATTCCTGGCGTTTTCCTGGTGATATTGCTTGAATATTGCCTACAGCGGGGTAAAATCATATTTCCTGACCTTATCGCTTGCCTATCACCACGCAGAGATTATGGTTGATAACCTTTGCAAGCTGGGTCAACATGCTGATAGGCAGTATTTGTTTAGCACTAAGGTTTAGCATTTAGTTTGGAGGGGGTCAGGGTGCTCACTGGAAGTGCTCGAGACAGTCCTATAGGGCTACCAAAGACGGCATCGTCCCAACGTACAGAATCAAAATGACCAGATCAGAATTGGATAAAGATCGATATTTTTCTTGTTAACCTGAGAACAGTGGTAACCGTGTCCCAGGATCATTGAATAAGTCGTGGGTAATCCTCGCTTTGTGAGTCTTTAATCTTCTTGAAACATTTATATATATTTCATGACCTACATAGTGTTTCAAGCCAGTGGCTAACCGCTTAGGTAGAAAAAGACTCTCAAAGATTCAAAGTTCAATCAGTATTGGAGATGTATATACAAAAAGGTATTATGATGTATATTTAAACGATACCCCTGTTGGTTTTGTCTTTGAATACATAGAGAATTCAGGACATGTAAACTGTGTATGCCATCTGCTTGAGCCAATGAATTGAACTATCTGTTTAAATGTGAATCTTTCAATGATCTAGATCCATTTTTGTTTCAATTAAACATACACCTTTCCCTTATATCAACATATTCCAGAAATGTGAAGAACTAGAAAAGTAAACATAATCAAGAACCTTGCCAAAGTACCTTTGGATGAGATTGTATTGTATCAACTGTGTACAAAGCTTGGTTCAGTTGTGTGTTACTATATAAATGTTCATATAAATTGTCAAGCAATATGTCTTAATGTCGCCAAATATTTTGACAGCATAAACGACATCGTGCAAATTGAGATAAACAGTATTTATGTACAGAAACTTTTCACCAAATACCATCTTCTGGTATGATTGAGCCAATGAACTTCTACTCTCCAAGCAGATGCTCCAGCATTAGATCAAGGAAGTGGACTCATTCATAACAGAGACTTTATGTATCAACATCTGAGATGTGAATGATCTTTTTGAGAAATACATGAAAAGTGACTTGATACAATAATAATCTGTCGTCCTTATCTGCGATGAAGATTAGGCATTTGTCTGACCTTATCTGTGATGAAGATTGGCCATTTGTCTGACCTTATCTGTGATGATGATTGGCCTTTTGTCTGACCGTATTTGTGATGAAGATTAGCATTTGTCTGACCTTATCTGTGATAAAGATGAACCATTTGTCTGACCTTATCTGTGATGAAGAATAGCCATTTGTCTGACCTTATCTGTGATAAAAATTGACCATTTTACTGACCTTATCTGTGAAAAATATAACCAGTTGACTGATCTACTTTCATGGGATTTCTGGTGTCCCCGGCCGTGATATTGCTGGAATATTGCTAAAAGCGGCGTAAAACTAAACTCACTCACTCACTCTCACTAACCTGTGATAAAGCTGGGCCATTTGCCGGATGTCAAGCTTGCGTATCTCTGATTTAGTAGGTAGCACGTGGCCTCGTTGACAATCCCTGCTGACTGTAACCGGCATGAACACGATCTCCTGGGGTGATAAATTACACCAGTTTATATGCACAGAATATTTGACTTTTCAGGTCAAATGCTTTGCTTATCTCGTTCTCTGACAATTTTGGTAGTTTCATGAACGGCCAAGATCCGAATGTCAACTTTCACTATCCACTCTGATAGAAAACACAAAGCTTCACGATGTTATTCTTCAAGCCATAGTATCAACCAGGCAGACAGAAGAGTTATCGTTTTCGAGTGAGATATCATTGTTTCAGATTAATGCTATATTTTATCACTTAATACATGTACAAAATTGGCTTCCACGTGTAACACGCGTAGTTGGACATTGTTGGAGATATATTTCTTCAAGTGTATAACTGATTGCTTAGCAATAAACGTTTGCTTCTGATTTTCACTTAACTAATTGTCACGAACGTCAGCAAATAGGGTGTGCCTCTTTACACAATAAATGCAATTCTAACAAGGGCTATTTTTGTTCATTGTATTAATGTATTGTTATCTTATTGTATGATGTCATTGTATTGTATGACTACATAAATGGAATGATGCTTCACTCGAAATATGTACATCCGTACGTTCTCATCAATATGCTCAAACATGGGTGAGTGTGAGTGAGTTCATATTCATCGTCACATCGGCAATGTTTCAGCCATATCGTGACGTGAACAAGTAATTATAATAATAATAGGCCATTTATATAGCGCCTTTCCACGTCACAGGGATATGCTCAAAGCGCTTCCTGAGCTCAAGTTACAACTATATACAGTTGGCAGGTACGGATGATTGGAAGTCACTTGTAGCGAAGAAATAGATGAGTAATTATCAATAACATCAATATAGATCAATAATATTAGAAGCTATAAAACATAATCACATGAAAAATGAAACAAGCATATGGTGACATCACATACATGATAGCAGAAAAACTGAAAACATTACAAGTATAATGGCACATAACAAATATGGTGACAAGAAAATGAAAATATTACAAGTATATGGCAACATTACATACGCGTTAACAGGGAAATCACAAGTATATTGTTACATTACAAACATGATACCCCAAAAAATGAAAATGAAACAAGCATATGGTGACATTACATACATGATAACGAAGAATTTGAAAACATTACAAGTATGTTGGTACATAACAAATATGTGACAAGAAAATTGAAAATAGTGCAAGTATGTTGTCACATTACAAACATGATAACAAGAAGAATGAAGACCTGGATCCGGTTGTATCATTGCTTCATTAACTAATGTCAACATTAAACCCTAATGATACATTAAATCCTTAATGTATCATTAGTTAATGGCAACATTAAAAACGGTTGTATCAAACACTTATTAGTGTATCATTAACTAATGACGTCCTAATGTTAATGTTGTCATTACTTTCGGGGATTCCCCTAAATATTTCCCACAATTCCCTAACGTAAACAAGTACGCGTTGCTTCCTGTCGTCTGTCAAAATGGCATCGTTACCGACTAAATTTCGTAACAGAAACAAAAATTTCGACAGCTCTGAAGTTCAGTTGCTGGCGGAGCTTGTTGAGAAACATATCTCAATATTAAACAGCAAGCTATGCAGCACAGTTACCCACGAAAGGAAAAAAGCAATCTGGGCAGACATCACAGCAAAAATTAACGCCCTCGGAGTCTGCCAGAGAACAACAAAGGAAATCAAAACAAAATGGACAAATATGCACCAGACGGCCAAAAAAGAATACAGTTCAAGACAGCTGGACATGAGGAAGACCGGAGGAGGACCCTGTATTGCCCCACTATCAACGACGAGTGAGAAGATAGTGGATATTTATAAAGATTGTCCCAGTTTCACTGGACTCACGGGGATCGAATCCTATGATTTAGTCACGCCAATGGGTATGTCGCATTAATTCAATAAAGTATCATTATATTGTAAGTGTTAACACTACCTTTCATCATACAGCAAATATATGATCTTGTAAGTTGTAAATGTAATTGAGCATGGCGATCGGCAATGGGATACTGCAAGTATTTGATGATCATTTATCAAGATAAGTTAAAAAACAAACAACAAACACCAACCGACCTTCTGTTACTCCTCATTCAGTAAAACTGCCTCTTGTGATAAAACTGCACTGTTACAATTTAAGTCATCACTCATTCATTCTCCGAACGGCAGCCATTGTGAAACGGAAAGGGGGGCAACTCTCATTACCCTAATCCAAACCATAATATACAGTTCATGTTGTGTCTATCTACGCTAAGTTCAAATCTCCCCTGAGATCATTAACATTCTTCATCTTCAAATAAAAGTTTTCTGTAACACTTTCATATCTGTTTGAGAGTTCCTCAAGAAGACAGCGAAAATAACCAGAAACAATGTATCACAACAGCAATGGTGTTGTTGCTCACCTGGTTTAAGATTTTAAAAAATCATGCCATCAACTTTCTATCATGCTATCACAAGTAGCGTATCATTAGTTTATAAATTAAATAATTTCATTTTGTTATGAGGCCAGTTATAATAACTCCGGTACCAAACTCAAAAGAACATAACACATTTGCACAATCATAAATATTTGGCCTGTTGGGACGGAAGATTCGGTGAGGGTTTTTTCGTACAAGATTTCATCACTTGTCATGATTTGGGAAAACTAAATCTTTGAAAATAGTGATGTTATGTTACTCCGAACACAATGAAATTTGTTACCTTTCTTTATATATAATTTTCGCAAGAACAAAATCCGAATGACAAATGCCGTAAGTTTAGCAGAACAGAGTTGTGTCCCTTAACTGTTGGTTGGTGTATACCTCTCGCCTATTTTCATATTGTATGTACTAGTTATCGTCACAATGGGAAGTACTGTAGTCAAGTGAGCAATTAGCTTTCTTTAAATACAGATACTGCGGTCGCACAAATAATCGGCTCCCCTTCGACCCTAAATCTCCTGGCACATGCTCTTGAAGATGTCCCTAGTCAGGAAGCCGCTGTGCCCAGCTGTTCCAGCTCACAGCTAAGGGAAACACCTACACCTGACGAAAGAAAAACCATGGAAGAGTATGTCGTAATTGGAAATTTTATGAATTACAACAGTTTTCTACATTTACATTCCGTTTAATTTGTCAACAGTGGCATTTAACGTAACCATATACAGCGGAGAGACTCAGCGCATACATACGGGGACTTGTATGTTCCCCTATATTCAATGATGCAAAGCAATTTTCTTTGACTTCAGGCCTATGATCCCGACCGCGGATACTTCCAGGCATGTCCCCCCGCAAAAGGAAGATCAGAGCGGATGACCTCACCCAACTTCAGTATGAGGTCTTGGTTGAGCAGAAGAAGAAAATTATGCAGCAGACAACCTACTATGAACTAATGAACAAGAAGCTCAGAATGGAGCTGGATTACATGATGAGCGATAACTGAAAAAGACAAGTTCATGTTTGAAATATTAAAACAGTTCCTTCAACAGTTATTTCCATAGTTTGCTACACTGTGTTCTCTATTTTGCAGTAAGAAAACTACATCGTATCTTGTCAGTTGAACTTTACTAATATAGATTGTCGGATGTTCTTAAAGGATGGAGGGACGGTGGGATAGCCTAATGTTTAAATTGTCCTCTTGTCACGCCATAGACCCGGGTTTGATTCCCCACATGGGTACAATGTGTGAAGCCCATTTCCGGAGTACCTGCTGTGATATTGCTTGAATATTGCTAAAAGCCTCGTAAAACCATGAGTTGACACCGTTGAGGTGAAATTGGCACTACACACAGGAAAATATATTTATACTGTAATATAACACAAGGGTAAACAAAGCTCGGAGTACGATACTCCTTTGAAGACAATAGATTTTGTCCAAACATTTTCTCTAATTGTAAGTTTGTGGGCACTTGCGAACTATGTTATCACCATCACAGTTGAATATACTATTCAGATAGAACATAAAGTCACGCTCCATTCTCAAGTGTAATATTACAGTTTTGGCAGATTGAACATTTCAGTGAGTGAAATAGTGTCTTGTGATGTAATCGCGGATGCTTCGACCATCTTCAGGACCTGTGTATTGCCCTTCTATGGTACTGTCGTCCTCTGCATCAACATCCAGCATGGGTTCACGAAGAATTATCGCAAGATTGTGCAACACGACACAAGCACCTGTCAAATATAATGAGATTCGTCTTAAAGCTGCACTGTGTTAGCTGTCTAGGCCTGTTAATAGGCTTTAAAACCAAATATTTTATCAGTATTTAATTTCTTAATTCACTTTATTTTAAAACTTTGTCTGTAGTAAGTATACTAACCAATGATGGTGCAAGCTCTCTCTGGGCACATCCTGATTTCTCCGTGGAGAACATGGAAACGCCTCTTGAGCCACCCAAATGCCCGTTCTATAGTTGACCGTGTTCGTTTATGTGAAGAGTTGAAGCGCTCTTGCTCGGGAGTAGATGGCTTTAGATACGGCGTCATCAAATACGGACGACATGCGTATCCACTGTCACCGAGAATAACACCATCCTGTAGAGTGGTATGATGAGTTTCAAGGTGTTGCCGTACATTGCTCATCTTGAACACGTGGCTGTCATGCGTGCTGCCTGGCCATCTCGCCACTACGTTAGTAAATTTACCTATACAAATACACAAAACGATCAATTTTAGTATAACTATGTGGAATCACTGCACCAAGTGCATATAGCAACCACTGCGAAATAGCTAGAAAAGTGCTGAGCTCGGCCTCAAAAAGCAAATGCTGAAAGCTTATCATCATAATGTTGTTTTAAGACGCTTACTTCGATCATCATTGTAAATGGTGTCATGTTCGAAACGCATTTTCTTTATTATAAGGCCGGAAAGACATGTACATTTATATGAAATGCGCTGGGCTTACGATGGTATCTGTTCATAATTTATCCTAACACTAACGCACCTTGGCTGTCACACACCGCTTGAACATTGATAGAATGGTAACCCTTCCTATTGACATAGGCAGGTTCGTTGTCTGATGGTGCCTGTATCCGA